TATATATATATATATATATATATATATATATATATATATAAACATATTGTATATTATATTTTGTTACTTTTCTGAATTATAGGTTAATTATGGGCAAATTGATTTGGTTAAAGAAAAAATAACAAGCAAGACAAGCCCAGAAGTCTCTCTTTCACTTTATCTTCTGGAGAGCATTGCAAAGAAGTTCCATTTCATCTGCAAAGAAATCAACAAAAATAACAGTTTTACTTTGCTCTATGTGTGTTACATCTGCATATTAACTTTTGCTACCAGGCAATGCATATGAAGCTATTCACAATTTCTCCTGTCAGTAGAGATAATAATGCAGAGATTACTGGGCAAGAAAAAAAAAACATAGTACAATCTTATGGGGAGAATGCAAGGCTGACAATACAAGTAGTCCTCAACTTACAACAGTTAATTTACTGACCATTCAAAGTCACAACGGCGTTGGAAAAAGTGACTTACAGCCATTTTTCACATTTACGACAGTTGCAGCATCCTTGTAGTCATGTGCTCAAAATTCAGATGCTTGGCAACTGGTTCATATTTATGATGGTTGCAGTATCCCAGGGTCACGTGATGCCCCTTTGGCAACCTTCTGACAAGCAAAGTCAATGGGGAAGCCAGATTCACTAAATAACCGTATTACTGATTTAACAACTGCAGTGGTTCACTTAACAAATGTGGCAAGAAATGTGCCCCATGAAGTGGGACAAAGTTCACTTTACAAATTTGTCACTTAGCAACATAAATGCTGGGATCAACTGTGGTCATAAGTCCAGAACTACCTATACCTTGGATGAAATGTATTGAATGACTTATGAAGAAGAAGAAAAATGAGATGATCAACTGTGATACAACCGTAAATTTATTGTCTATAGATTCCTTATCTTGTCCCAGACAATATTTATCTTTCCAAAATACCTGGGATAAGGAGCTAAACACTACAAAGGCTTCCATACAAAGTTTCTTGATTGGATTATATGAGGCATCCTCAAGGTATAACTCACAGTTATCCTGAGATTCATTTAATGTCCAATCTTTGCATTGTTGTCTTCATAGTGTGAAAAGATAGTTATCTTCATGCCATAATGATACAGCAAGGGGAAACTCTAGCACAACGCTGGGTCCAGGTAAGAATGAAGAAAACACCCCACAACCCAAACAGAGGTCAATTCAGTGATCAATCAGGAGTACAGATGTGACTACATGACATGAACTACATCTCCTGTTTAACCAGCACATTCCATACAACATAAAAGCTCCCACTCACAAGAATCTTTTTGTGCACAAACAACCACTTTTTCAGATCTTCATATCTTTAATTGAAAACTATTAAAAAGATGTTGAAGTTGATAAATAGCAAAAAATGTATATGGTCTACAAAAATACATTTGTTATGGAACTCCTCTGAATTCCAGGACAGAATGAATACATACAGTATGTCAGAGCAATCTAACCACAAAAATCTTTATTTTAAATTTACTATTAGAATTGGAATACAAAAAAAAAGTATTTTTTCAATTTATTAAGAACCTGTAAGTGATTATTTCATCTATGTCATATGGTGCTTGAAGTTTCAAAATGCACCTGAAGTCAAACATCCATTTCTTTATACACAAGGAACTACTAATTGAATAAAATATAAAAGATTCTTGGTTGGCATCCAAGCAAACCCATCCAAAGTTCTGAAATTAAGTACTTACTGCCAATGGCATCTGATAAATTCTTTAATTGCTTGATATTGTCCAGAACCTCAATTCTTTCAGTATATGGATTGTAACGGACTGAAAATGGACGTGAAATCATTGAGGCATATTTTCTGTAAATGCAGAGCAAACATTTAAAGGCAACCATATGTTCAAGTTTTGGGGTGAAATGTCATTCTTTAAAGCTAGGGACTGTAAGTTTTATAATTTGTTTGAAATGGAAAGAGGAACAATAAAGTTGAGATCTTGTGCAATAAATAAAAACTATTATGCATGTCTTATAGGTACAAAATAAGCGATGCCTTTCCTTCGATATGGGGACAAAACAGGGACTGTTTTGTTTGCTTTTGCTCTTACATGTATTTCCTGCAGTCTCAATTTCCCTGTCAACCTTGGAAACCATATTTTATTTGGAAGCTTCAAGGCTGCCACATTTTAGTGCCTGGGAATTTGGGAGAGGAGATTTCATAGAGAGATGGAAGATTAGACTGAACAACATTCTTCTCGTAAAGTCAAGGACAAGTTACCCTTCACCTGGAGAGGAGTGTCTGGAGGACTGTCTCCAGTTGGGATGATGGTTGGTTGGGCCATCTGATGGACTGGTCGGTGAAGGGGATGGGTTTGGAATTTCAATTGGGAAGGGAAAACCCAGAACTCTCAGATTTGGGTTTTCCCAGATGTGCCAACATGACTTCTTCAATAAACTCTTACTTGGATGATCTTTGTTTTTGAGTGCTGAATGAAAACGGGAGATTCACTGGAATGCCAACATTCTCATTCTTATCTTGCTGAGTATCCCTGGATCCAACTTCTCTGAGTTATCATTTATCTCACAGGTCAGCTTTTATTAATAACTTTATAACTCCTCTTTCAAATTAAAGATTCCTAAGGTAGCTGGTGGTAAACTTATGGTTCTGATACCTGTGAAACCACTTGCAAGTAATCTAAGCAGATCCTACCTTAACTTCTGTTTTGCATCTTCAAAACTTTCCGCTATGTAATAAATAGGCTGGAATTCAGTAACTGGATATTTTTGAACTGCAGTCTTTTCCAAGATGAGAGGTTCTGTGACAGGTTTATCTGACAGAGAGTACTAAAGGAAAAGGACAGAAGGGTTTTAAATTTTAAACAGAAATGATTGTTGCTGTCACAGTTTAAGCTTAGTAAGGACTAATAATTCTTTCCATTAAATATTGAATATTGAATATGGTGGGGAGTATCATTGCATTGTAGTCAAGTATACAGAGAAATGTCTTAGAAGGGGTGGGCTGCTACCAGTTCTCCCTGGTTTGGGTGAACCAGTTGTTAATTTTATGGCCAGTTCAGTGAACCCACAAATCCCACCCCTGGCTGGCCCCGCCCTCCATGCCCCTCCCCTCCCAGGAGTCCCCACATGGCCCATTTTGGATCCCAGGTAAGTGCAGGACCTCTGTGGAGGCTCAGGGAGGGTGAAAAACGGCCCTCCTGGAGGTCTGGAAGGTTGGAAATGGGCCTGTTTCCAACCTCCAGAGCCTCAGAGCCCAGGGAGGCTATTTTCATCCTCCCAGAGACTTGAGGAAAGCCTCCGGAGCCCGGAGAGGGCAAAAATGCCCCCCCCCTGCAGTGCTGCAGGAGGCTAACTAGGCCATGCCCACCATGGGCATGCCCACCCAGCAACTGGACAGAGAACCGATTGCTAAATATTTTGAAGCCCACCCCTGCTTAGAAGTATAGAAATGAAAATTAAATTAGAGAGCCAAAATACAAAAAGAAAAACAAACAAAAAAACTGCCAGAGAGCTCATAACCTCAGAATTTTAATCCTCATAACCTCAGAATTAAAAAAAAAAACTGGGGGAAAAAGAAACACGTGGCCATGATGGAATGTCTTTACAGAAGGGAATTATGTGATGCAGCTCCAAACAGGGACATTCCATATAAAAGGATGAACATACTCCATTTTTTCTTACACTATTGTTTGACATTTTAATTAATAAGGATTATAAAGAGCCATGGTGGTGCAGTGGTTAGAGTGCAGTACTGCAGGCTACTTCTGCTGACTGCTGGCTGGCTGCAGCTTGGCAGTTCAATTCTCACTGGATCAAGGTTGGCTCAGGCTTCCTTCCTTCTGAGGTCAGTAAAATGAGGACCCAGATTGTTGGGGGCAATAGGCTGACTCTGTAAACTGCTTAGAGAGGGCTGTAAAGCATTGTAAAGAGGTATACAAGTCTAAGTACTATTGATATATTCTGGGTTTATTGATGCCTTCATATGCTAAAAAAAGAAAAGGAAGCAGTACATCTGTTTATTTAATGTGGGCCTCTCCATACTGAGGATGCAAGTCTGTACCTGACACTCTAACCTTGACAGCATCCTCATGCTCAGAATTAAGGATTAATTGGCTTCCATGTTGATGAGTAGTCTGTTTTTGGAACCTTCCTTTACCCCAAAAGTAGACAGAAAAGATGTGGCTTGCACACTGATTTCCAGGGAACAGAATAGCTTATATTTGAAAATTGGGAGAATAAGCCTTTCAAGGACCAAGAGGACAATTGGAAACCAGAAAAAGCTACCAAATTTAAGCTGGGTTGCATTTGAAACAAAGCTACATAAACATCACCATGCCAGATTTTTTATTTTGCAGAAAGATTCATCAACTTCATTTGCAAAACTCATGAATTCATACTTGCAGTTCCCCATATGATGACAACAGTCCAGCCCCATAGGCCTTAACTGCGTTGCCTTCTTTACAGAGGCCAAATTCCACAGTGAACCAGTAAACCTGAAATAAAATAAGGTGCAGAGTTTATTGTTACTGTTGCTACAGAGTTTCTGATGATGCTGAAACAGGGCTATGAAATAAATAAAAAAAATAAAATGATTTATATTAATGAAAATTTTGTTCTAAGAATAGTTCATGAATGGACACTTTCTTGATGATTTTATTATCAATTAATAATGGTTAGTTGTTTATTTGGGTTAGGAGCCTGAATCTGCCTATAACTAACCTTCGAAAATGCTATGATTTGTTTCACTGTATTTAAAATGCATTAATGGTTATAATCTTTTGGTAAACATTTCAAGCTTATAAAAGTACTACAATAGTTAATGAGTTTTTAATGGTTAGCTACATTCATATAATGTACGTATAGTGTAAAAATGAATTATTTGTTCAAGGAAGAGTTTCAAGATAATTCTGAAACCAACCAGCCAAGAACTTTCATTCCATATTAATTGCAGGATATGACTGAAGCTATTATCAGAATTCAACACTGACCGTTGCAAGTTTCTCAATATAATCATCTGGTGCTCCTAGAGAAGCCAACCCAATCTCCTGTAAAAGGAAAACATTTCCAGTTTCTTGTTTTATTGTCATCTATACAATTCCTGCACAGAAACACACAACTTTTTTAAATCTGAAAATGAAATAATAGTGAGATAACTTATCAAGAAAATATTTCTCTTTTCTGCTTGTAAATTATATTTCTTTCCAACAGAGGGAATTATAGATATTGTTATGTATGTAATGTATAGAGGAAAAATAAAAGTGCATGTACGCAACATGCATAAAAAGGGTGTGCCTTCACTTTCATGGTAGCAAGTGCCCTCTTTAAAATAAGACATAATAGTTTTGATTTAAGATAAAGTCAGACTGGACATTTCAATATATTTAAAGTTATCAACTGTAGATTTCAAAATGCTGCTAAAACTGAACTTCACATAAAATAATCTTTATGATCTCAGCAGGGCCTCTAAAAAGATTATTTTTAAGCATCGGGAAGATTTCTTGTCTCTAGGACTGAAAGACAAGTTACTCAGGAGGCTTCATCTACATAACATGATAATTACCCAACTCTGATGGATTCTGCTGGGTATAAAAAACTAGGGGAAAAATATAAAAATAACTGAAAACATTAAATCAAATAGGTAGTCCAGACTAAAATGATCTAATAAATAAAAGAATCAATAGAGCAGAACAGAGGAAAGCAAAACAAAACAAAAGACAAGTAATAAGCATCTACAGGTGAAACTCGAAAAATTAGAATATTGTGCAAAAGTTCATTTATTTCAGTAATGCAACTTAAAAGGTGAAACTAATATATGAGATAGACTCATTACATGCAAAGCAAGATAGTTCAAGCTGTGATTTGTCATAATTGTGATGATTATGACTTATAGCTCATGAAAACCCCAAATCCACAATCTCAGAAAATTAGAATATTACATGCATAGAACAATATAGAACAATAATGGACCTCTGAAAAGTATAAGCATGCATATGTACTCAGTATTTGATTTGGGCCCCTTTTGCAGCAATTACTGCCTCAATGCGGCGTGGCATGGAAGCTATCAGCCTGTGGCACTGCTGAGGTGTTATGGAAGACCAGGATGTTTCAATAGTGGTCTTCAGCTCTTCTGCATTGTTCGGTCTCATGTCTCTCATCTTTCTCTTGGCAATGCCCCATTGATTTTCTACGGGGTTCAGGTCAGGTGAGTTTGCTGGCCAATCAAGCACAGTAATCCCATGGTCATTGAACCAGGTTTTGGTGCTTTTGGCAGTGTGGGCAGGTGCCAAGTCCTGCTGGAAAATGAAGTCAGCATCCCCATAAAGCTCATCTGTGGAAGGAAGCATGAAGTGCTCCAAAATCTCCTGGTAGACAGCTGCGTTGACCCTGGACTTAATGAAGCACAGTGGACCAACACCAGCAGATGACATGGCTCCCCAAATCAACACAGACTGTGGAAACTTCACACTGGACTTCAAGCATCTTGCAGTGTGTGCCTCTCCATTCTTCCTCCAGACTCTGGGTCCTTGGTTTCCAAATGAGATGCAAAAGACGGTCTCATCAGAAAAGAGGACTTTGGATCATTGACCAACAGTCCCGATCTGTTTTTCTTTAGCCCAGGTAAGATGCTTCTGACGTTGTTTGTTGTTCAGGAGCGGCTTGACAAGAGGAATATGACTTTTGAAGCCCATATCCAGGATCTGTCTGTGTGTGGTGGCTCTTGATGCACTGACTCCAGCCTCAGTCCACTCCTTGTGAAAGTCCCCAGCACTTTTGAATGGCCTTTTCCTGACAATCCTCTCCAGGCTATGGTCATCCCTGCTGCTTGTGCACTTTTTTCTTCCACACTTTTCTCTTCCACATAACTTTCTATTAATGTGCTTTGATACAGCACTTTGGGAACATCCAACTTCTTTTGCAATTACCTTTTGAGGCTTTCCATCCTTATGGAGGGTATCAATGATGGTTTTCTGCACAACTGTCAGGTCAGCAGTCTTTCCCATGATTGTGCTTCCTACTGAACTAGACTGAGAGACCATTTAAAGGCTCGGAACCCTTTGTAGGTGTTATGGCTTAATTAGCTGATTAGAGTGGGACACTTTGAGCCTAGAATATTGAATCTTTTCACAATATTCTAATTTTCTGAGATTGTGGATTTGGGGTTTTCATGAGCTGTAAGCCATAGTCATCTCAATTATGACACATCACGGCTTGAACTATTTTGCTTTGCATGTAACGAGTCTATCTCATATATTACGTTCACCTTTTAAGTTGCATTACTGAAATAAATGAACTTTTGCACAATATTCTAATTTTTTGAGTTTCGCCTGTACCTTAGGCCTGAGACCAAAGTCAAATTTCAACATTTTCTGGATCCCTTAGAGAGATAATGGATTATCTCCTGCCTGTATGAATCTCCAGCTAGGTTAACATTAAAATTTAGCTTTTACTTACTTGAGAAAACTGAGCAAAACTAGGGTCAGCAAACAGAGGGACGTGTCCTAGGAGTTCATGGCAAACATCACTAAAAGAAAACACAAATCGGTATGAAAACATTCAGATGAGATGTGTTTGTGAGAAGGAAAACATATTAGAAAAATCTGGTTATTTCAATAAACTACTAAGAGAATCATACAGATGTTTTGGACTTCTTTCAAGCTTAGCCAGCCAAAAGGAAGAGATTGCAAGAATTTTGGCCAAAGATATCTGGAATATACCAGATTACCTGGTTTACCTTGCTAAATGTATATATGTGTAATCAGATAGAATTAACACTTCCCTACCATGGCTTCCTTCCCTTTCTTCCTTGTTCTTTGTTGTGCCAACTTATAGACACATGAGACACATCTCTAAATAAAAATCAATCATCTGCAGAGAATATTTGTGCATATTCTCTACAAATTGAGTATAAAGTTATATGCACATTTCTATACTTCTTGGTCCACTTCCCCTTTGATCATGCATAATATTCCAAGGGTTCCAAGCATAATACAACTGTATACTTTACAAAGCTAAATACGTACGGTTCAGGTGTATACATTGGTTTTGATGAATGGCGAATGTACTGCGTAGAGTGAAATACTCTAAAAGCCAAGCCACCCAAAAAATCTCGAGATGAAAGAAGACCAGCCACAGGTCGTAAGCGAAATCCAGTGCAACCTTGAAAGAACAGAAAAGTTCTAGATTATCATGTGACTTCAGATGTAGCTATGTTCTAAAGTTCCATTCAACATTCTCATTCAGAAATCGAGTTACTTATTTCTAGAAACATATGGACAGAATTGCAGTCTGATTGCTTCTGGTACACAAGCCACATTTATATCGGTTTTTCAACCACTATTTACTTACTTCTCAAAAAGTTTGACACATCTTCAAGCTGAGGAATGTTATCCTCTTGGTAGCCACAGTATTTTTCCAGGAGTGGAAACACATGATTGTGTTCATAGCAAGCATGTGTAGGATAGAGAGTCTTCAGTTCCCTAAAGACTATCCCCCATGTCTTCTTCTCTTCCTCAGTGTAAGTCACCCTGGGTATAGGCTGCCCACTGAAAGGGAAGTAAAAATAACCATCTTATCAACATCAACCCCAGAAATTCAATTCATACAATCTGATGTGCTGTGGCAGATCTTTAAAGATTAGGCAGGGAAAGTAATCATTGCAATAAACTTTTTGCTACAGTATGTTCATATGTGTGCCCTTTGATTCTTCCATTGTACATTAAAGCAACTTTATGCCAATATTCAAAACACACACTGCCACCAAATCTACTTATAGGTCAAAAAGAAATAAGACACCTCAAAGATTAATGTATGCTAAAATTCTGATAAACACTATATTCTGCTTCAGACAAGCCACTTTCACACTGTTTGATTACTGCTATGAGCTTATCATGTTTTTCACATATTAAACTTATTGTGGAATTATCAGAGTTCTGGTCATTTTATTCCTGTCTGGTATATCCATATGAAGTTGTCATATATTGGATCAAATTGATATTATGCTGAACTTGCAATTTCTGAAAACATTTTTCCATGAGGAAAAGGTTGCTTGTTAGGCTTATTATCAGATATTTTGGGGTTTTCTTCTACTGAAAAGCAGCAGAGGGTGTTACTACTGGGATAGTTTTCTGCTAAGCCATCTTTCCATTTCTCTGAGTCTTCTCTAGCTGCCCAAATCTTTCCGTTCTCCACCATTCAGTCAGAACTGAAGAAGCTTCTTGGATGAGAAGCAAAACATCTTCAAAAAAACAACAACAACCAAAGCCCAGTTGCCTTTTGAAAATGCACCTTCCCAAATTTGCCAAAATAAAACAGACTAAAAGGATCTTCCATCAAGTTTGAAGAGAAATGCAGAAAGTCAAGACAGATACAATTCTCCAGTTGTCAGACAGGGCATTTCTCGGCCATTTTATAATGTAGCAAATCAAGAACATCATGCTCCATCCATCAAAATATTATGGAAAAATCTTTCCTCCACTGAAATAAATTTTGAAAACAAATTCTCTTTCTTCAGAATGAATAAATGACAGGATAAAAATGTAACAGAATTTTTCAGCACAGCATTAGGTCGAATTCAGGGGTGGGCTTCAGAAATTTTAGCAACAGGTTTTCTGCTCAGTTGCTGGGTGGCCATGGCCATGGGTGGGTGTGACCATGGCGGCGGGGGGAGTTTTTGCCCTCCCTGGGCTCCGGAGGCTTTCTTCAAGCCTCCAGGAGGGCAAAAATGGCCTCCCTGGGCTCCAGAGGCTCTGGAAGCTGGAAACTGGCCCATTTCCAGACTTCCCAAACTTCAGGGAGGCTCATTTTTCACCCTTCCCAAGCCTCTCCATGCGCCCTGCACTTACCTGCATCCAAAATAGGCTGTGTGGGGACTCCTGGGAGGGGCGGGGTGGGCCGGGAGTGAGATTTGGGGCTTCTCTGAACTGTGCAGGATCTTAGATAGAGGATCTCCCAAACCCCTGCGAACTCCCAGCAACCCATCCCATTTGAATTATTACCATGTGCAGTTCTGAGAACTTCAAGAATTCTTACGCAGCAGGTAGATCAGGTAAATAAGCAAACAAAGCAACAATAGAAAATTCAAGCCTACTTTTATTATAAAAAGAACAGATATTATAAAAAGAATAGAATGTGTTTTTTCAACAATTTCTCTTTGCAGAAGAGATGAACATATACAGTCATCTCTTTTGCCCTACCAAGAGGATAGCATCGCGTTTAAAAAATGCTTTGTAATGAGACCCTCCTTGCAATGGACTTTTAAAAATCTGCAGCAAACAAGCAATTGCTCCACACACAGTTGGACCCTAATTCCTAAAATGTTCCAGCATAAGACCATCTGGGTTAACATGAGCGATTTTAATATTGAAGAAGTTGCAGAAAAGGAGGCAGTAAAGAACACTGCTGGGATCCCAGAAGGTCTGATAGTTACTTTATCCCTTATCCACTCTATTATTTATGATTGGATTACCTGGATTTAGGAAAACAAAAACACCTGTTGGGGATTAATTCAGCATCATTCCCAACTTCCTTACTTCTCACTATGCAGTAATTTCTCCCATGCTGTTCTTGCTTTGCAGCTTTAATGATCCGAAGACAAAATAATCTGATGTACGTGTCATCGACACTGAAAACCAGGCTGGTGTACAAAGCGGCTGGCTTAACCAAACAATGCCTCCAATCTCTCCTGCCCTTAAAACCGGGGTGCTAAAAGTCGACCCAGGTAATGGCTCAGCAGGAGTAGTAGATCTGTCTCTTCCTTAAATATAAGTCCCCAACAGTCAGCCTGGCTCTGTCTTGAACCCAAAAGGAATCCTTTGACTTGCTCAACTTGTTGCCTTGACATTAAAACCCGGGGCAGGGATGGTGTCTGCTGCTCAGAAAATAATTTTAAACATGGGCAGGCAACTTATCTAAGCCTTTCTCTCATCCTGCCCCCAAAGCTTTCCCGCTCCCCAGCAATTGAATAAGGATTGTGGCACCGTGGGGATAATAGGAGGGATTTATAAAGTGGCAGTTCTTTGTCAGAAGATGAGTGATACCCCCACCGTTCCTTGTCCCTTCACTTCAGCCTGATCCTAGGGGCAGCCCCCCAATAATTGTGCAATTTTCTGTGTCTCTGCACCAGTCCTCCTTGATCTCTGGAGCCTTAAACATGATTTTGAATGAGGTGGGGGTGTGTGATGAAACTGCTGTGGTTTCTATAGCATTGACATTTCTCATTAATCCTTAGGCCACCTTCGTGGGCCTAAGAAAAGAGGAGAGGTTTAAGGCTCTGTCAGACACCAATCTGAAAGCTGCTGAGATCAATAGACCAAGGCTCAGGGTGGCAGGTGAGAAGGAAGAACTGAAGAGGTGGGGGTGTAAATGTGGGCATACATAAGTGGGGGGTGGGAACAGAAAGATGAATGACCTAGGGTCTTAAAAATGAGCCACACAACAACATCCTAAATTGTCCTTCCTGCTCCACAGATTGTCCTTGAAAGGATTATAATTTCATGTTCATAGTTCCTATTGTTTGCATGTTTTCCTATATATATACACATGCATGCAGTAAAAGCTACACCTTTCCTGATTATCTTATTCTTTTTTGAAGGACATGTATAGTTTGCCCTGTTTCATCTTCATAGCAACTTCAGGAAGTGGACTTGGTGGAAAAAAAATATTCACCCACTGGCTTTGTGACTTCATTTGAACCTTTTTAAAACTCTCGTCACTATAACTCTTTGTCATGAATCCATGCCAACTCAAGGATTTTTAAAGTATGATTTTATCCATACCTATAAATCACAATGGCTAGATTCAAATAGGTTGACAAAGCAAAGCCACCCAAACCAGAAGGGTCAACCACTGGCTCTAAAATTCCAAATTACTACACCCCAAATCTGAATTAGCAAAGTGTAGCATTTGTTTCCACATAACATGCTGTGCTGTCTATTCAAAGAAGGGACCATTTCCCGGCTCATCATGAAGGTTTGGCTTACACAACATGCAAAGACAATGGCTAGGCTCCAGTTACATATTGGCCCCTTCCCCATAACCCCGTTTCTTGGAACTATTGATGTTAGCTTCTATCTGTATCAGTGAACACTATAAAAATCAGTCCTGTTTTTGTTAAAAAGTTTTCCCTGTTCTATCATTGAGGTTGAATTTGGATTCAAAATCCTTTCTTTTTCTTTTATATTTTGGGTGGGGCCTTGATATCCTTTCTATCATACCATCAATTTTGAAGCAGAAAACACTGATTTCCAAAATCAGCTCAAACAATTGTTTAACAAAAACTCTGTCAAACGAGGATGTGGGAGATGACCTTCTTAGGAAGGAAGGAAGGAAGGAAGGAAGGAAGGAAGGAAGGAGAGAGAGGTGGTATTCGGCAGGTTCTAAGCAGTTCTGGAGAATGGTAGTGGAAATTTTGAGTAGTTCAGAGAACCAGCAAATACCACTCTGACTAGCCCCACCCCCATCTATTCTCTGCCTCCTGAATCCCAGCTGATTGGCTGGTTCTTCTTTTGTTGCCTTGTACAGGAGAACAGAGCTGGAAAGCTGGTTAGGATGGAGAGGAATGGGATTTTGCAGTAACCTTCCCCTGCCATGCCCATCAAGCAATGCTATGCCCACCAAGCCACACCCATGGAACCGGTAGTAAAAAAAATTGAATCCCACCACAGGAAGGAAGGAAGGAAGGAAGGAAGGAAGGAAGGAAGGAAGGAAGGAAGGAAGGAAGGAAGGAAGGAAGGAAGGCCAATTCTTGGCCATTCTATTCCCCTTTGCTTTATTAGCTATTAAAGATTGGTTGTATTATGAATTTCAAATGAGTCCTACTTGATATAGACAATAAGTAAATGAATCGTCCACAGTTTGGAATATATATATAAGGAAGTACATACATACATACATACATACATACATACATACTTGTGTGTGTGTGTGTACTTCCTCATATATATATTCCAAACTGTAGAGGGTTCATTTATTTATTGTCTATATCAAGTAGTATACACACACACGCACACGCACACACACACACACACACGTGTGTGTGTTTGTGTGTGTGTGTATTCTGCACTTCCTACTAGTTGATAATAAGATTTAATTATCAAATTGGATCATGCATAAAATCACTACTATACTATCTCTTCAGTCCCACAGTCCAGAAATAGTGTGAAGACTAACTAGCTCATTGAACATTTTATCATGCAGCTGGAAAGTGACGATATACACAATTAGATCAAGAATATACGCAATGCATTATTTTAATCTTGCTCATAGTCCTTGCTATAATGCAAATTATATACAGTTCTTTCCTCTCCTCCGTTTAATGTGAAGCATATGAGATGCTTAGTGCCTGGTGCTTTGTAGTCGCCTCTGATGCTGCAGCACAATTAGATAACAAAGCTTTGTGGGGGCTGGAGCCTGATCCTCGTCTGAATGCCATTTATTACCAGAAGGCTGTAATTGGGGGATAAATGCACTCAGAGGAGGATCTAAGAACAGAGGAGGAAGAAAGCAAGCAAGAGAAAATAAACATTTTATGGAAAATTTGACTGGAAGAAAATTTGGTCTGATGGTCCACTTTATTTGGACTCTCAGTGAATTCAGGTGGGCCCCATATGAATGAATCTAGAATTCACATGAGACTTTCTACCTTCATTTGCTCTGGTTTGCCTTTTCTTATTTAATTTGATAGCAAACTATTTTATTTAAGCTTTTCTCCCTTCCATTACTTTGATTTCAAAATGCCTAGATTTCCTCTCTGTTCAAAGGCCTCCAGGTCTGCTACAGATAATGCTACCAATGAAAATAAGCTTTTTTGTCCATCATGATGCTTCTTTTTGAAAGATTGGATCTTAATTTAACATTCTAAAGCACAGTTATCCAAAAGTAAAAGGATCCATAGATGCTCTTATGATTTTATGAATTTAAATTCAGCTGAACAACAAGAAAAATGTTTTGATGATCAAACTAGTCGAACAACCAAATCAAGTACTTACGGAGAGAGTGAGGTGATTCTAATTAGAGATCTTTGGCCAAAGATTGAGGAATAAAGCACCATGGATTCTCCAGCTATGGGATACACTGCTCTATTATTCTTTGAGCATCTATAGTTAGCCTGCCTGCTAGTAGTCTGGAATTCGTTCTTATTCTATTATTTCATGCTGCATCCAGTCCAACCTGCTCTACCCAGAACAAATTCATCTCATTTTTTTTCTTGTTCCTTCAGGGCCATAATTTACATCATCCCTCTAACAGACCAAATGACCAATGCCATTTCCACATCCATTTCAGCCATGTGGACAGTTCCTCAACATCTTCACTGAAGCAATACTGTTGCAAAGAATAAACGAGGAAAAGCTAATCTTGATTTATAATCTGTCTAATATGTTCCTTATCACTTCTGAATAATTCAAGATGCACGTTTCTGCTGTACCTTCTGCAGTGTTCCTCAAACTTTTTTTACTGATTAACAGATTACTGAATGTTGATAAACATTCAGCTGACTGGTGGTTGAAGAGGCAGAGTTCTGGGCAGGTGATCAATGGTGAATGTGTGAATGCTGTTGTGGGCCATCATCTGGACCCTGTGGTCTAACAGTGGTCTGTAGACTACTGTTTGAAAATCACCTATCAAAAGGAACACCTATTTTGTGCCAAAGAAGTTATTTTAGGAGGTAGTTTCTTCTTTCTCATCTGCATACTTACTGCCTGTAGTTGTATGCTATATCTGCAAATTCCTTTCTTCTGGCCCGGTAAACTGGATCTTTGAAACCCTAGAAACAGATAACAAAAGTAGTTGCTTTGTGAGCGTTTAAAAATGTAGGTACAATTTAAAGAAAACAGATGTATTGTAAGTTGATTTAAGGCAAATCATGCTCTAGAAGAGATGGAGGATCACGATTCTCCAAATCAAGATTCAAGATTCACCAAAAGGTTCAAAGACCTGATCTAGGCAAGCTTAATAGAAATATGCAATAATACAGACCTGGAAAAACATAATTTATATTGTTTTAAAAACACCAGTATAGCTCCATCCTGTCTCTCATTGGAATATCCTTCCTGAATAGCACTGATTCACTGATTTGTATTGGTTTTAATCTGATAACAGATAATCAGAGTTGGAAGGGACCTTGTAGGTAATCTAGTCCAACCCCCCACCCAACCTTACACCATTTCTGACAAATGGCAATCCAATCTCTTCTTGAAAGTCCCAAGTGATGGCGCTCCCACAACTTCTGAGGACAAGCTGTTCCATTGGTTGATTGTTCTCACTGTCAGAAAGTTTCTCCTTATTTCCAGGTTAAATTTCTCCTTGTTCAGTTTCCATCCATTATTCCTTGTCCGGCCTACAGGTACTTTAGAAAATAGCTTGACCCCACAAAAAAGAAAGGAAATTAAAAAAGGAAGATATCACTGGAAGATAAAGCTTTGGAAAATATATAAGGCAACTTCCTGTTATTCAAAGTCAAGAAGACATACAAATTTCAATGTCCAAAACAAGATATTGATCCCAGATACAAAATGGAAACCAGTGCAGCTGTATTAGAAACATCTTCATCAAGAGAAGAATAGCACCAGGATCAGAAGAAGTAAGAGTACCACTCTATACTGCACTAATGAGACCAATACTTGGCATATTTCATCCAGTTCTATGATAAAAAAAAAAGATATTGAGACACCAAAAGAGTACAGAGAAGAACAAGATGATAAAGAGGTCTGGAGTCTGAACTGTAGGATGAACAGTTAAGGGAACTATTCTAAGAAAGAGAAGTCTTAGGGATATACATGATAGCTGTCTTCCAGTACTTGAGGGGCTATAACAGAAATGAGGGATTGACTTATTGTCCAAAGTGCCTGAAGGTATGTCAAGAAGCAATGGGTGAAAGCTCATTAAATAAACATCCCACCTGGAACTAAGGAGAAATTTTCTGACAGTGAGAACTATTAACAAATGGAACAGCTTCCCTCACAGAATTATGGGTTCTTCATTGCTGGAATTTTTCAAGAAAAGATTTGTCTGGAATGGGCAGGGGATTGGGTTAGTCCCTTCTAGCCCTATGATTCTATGATACCTTAGTACTTGGGTAATGGCACAATGATAATAATTATATATTATGATCTGCTAGCTTCACTTATCCTACATAGGAAAGATTATTTGCCCAGGGTGAAGCTAAAATCTACGGCAAGTGGACTGTAGCAAAAGTAATATAATTTCAAATAATATTTCTAATTTGACTTATTATAAGCAACATCTAGGTACACTTTTCTTTCCCCATTCCAAACAGCAGCAAACCCTACCAAAAAGGGGCCATTGACTAATTGTTTCTAGCAGTGGGATTTGAGATGAGTCCTTCATTTGGATTCATTGTCTTTTGTTAATAGTTTCATTTTGCCTTTGGTCACTATGCTTCTGTATCTATAATATTATTCACTCGTTCTTCAGTACAATGACCCCCTATTCACCTTATTTTGTTCTAGGATTGGACCAAATATTGTGTGTGCCAAATAATTATATGGGGTGCATTATTCATTTTAGATTAAACTAGTGAGCTAGTGAAAGGCTAATCACTCTTCCTCAATTAGTGTAATAGCAGTATTTTTTGCTGCATCCTGTATAATTTATTTACAAGTACCCAGCTTCAGTTAAATTAATAGTGATAATTGCTGGCTACACTACATCTTCTGACATCAGAAGGATATAGAATATTGTTTTCATTGATCAGTGGTAAGCAATTATGTGGTCATTCATCCAAAATTTTATTGTAGTGTTATAAACATCTCCCTTTTTTCTCCGTCTTTCTCTATTAATGAGAAAGTCCCTTCCTAGCACCTAAAAAGTATTACAATCATTATAAGCTGATCACTGATTTAAATCCTCCCCCATCTCTCTCACCCCTCTTCCCTCTCTCTCTTCTTCATTATTTTGGTTTTTTACTAGAAATCCCAAAATACGTAATTTATCAAAACTCTGAAAAATGTTTTTAAAAAGGAATTATTTAGAGGAAGAGTTAAAATGGAGAATAAAAGAAGACAGAATAAAGAAGATATCACATCTTTCAAAGAGATATAACAACTCTATGTGTTTCTTGTTGTCTACTGAGTATTTCCAAACAATATGCAAGATTCTTTGCAGGAGCTTATTTGATCTCCCATTAAGATATTTCCCACATTCAGAGCTTAATTAATTATAGGAACCTGGAGTCAATTAAACAATGCCCCTCTTTTTCCAATGAAGTGATAGCATGAATTTTGATATCAGTGGTGTAACTAATCAGATACACAAAAAACTAGATCCACCACTCTTAATTACTCTGAATTCACATGTTTAAAAAAATCTAGAATAGTTTTTGTGATGTTTTTCAATCTCACAAACCCTAGATGGCACTGTTTAGCTACAATAGAATTTTCCCCTTCCTCCAATGTGGATATTTTTACCTAGAGTTCTTTAACACTGCATAATAAGTAATTCTGAAAATTATAGATATTGTACCTCATTATGTTAGGGATTGATGACAGATCTATAGAATAGTAAATTAGTAAGGAATACGTTCTTGGAAACATAGATTTTCTGTTTAGTTATCTATGCATGTTTTCATCTGCACTATTCAGATTATAAGAAATTTCCTATATATGTGATTCTGACTGTTTCTTTTAAATATGCCCTTAATTTCACAAAGATGAAGCTTCATACCAATAACCACAAATGAAGATCATAATTTCGACTTTTGTCTGTCTGTGGCAACTGTCCTGGTGCCCTCAAAATGTAGTTTTGGGCTCAGTTTCCAAAATTCTCAAATGTAGAATGGTAAAATCCGAGTGATGCTTACATATTAAAATGTAAAATTGCATATGAAATTAGAAATAGAATTTTTTTCTTTAAAAGAGAATGAATGGGTAACATTTTTTTTTTTGTCTTTAACAATTTTTATCCTTTCTTACAGGATGGTCAGCATCCAGTTCTGCTCCATAGCTGAGAATCTGATTCGCAAATCTGTCCAGTTCTTGAATAGATCTTGGGAACCATGGAACTAGAAAGCAGAAAAGAAGCATCAATTGTGATTAGTTCCTTACCACTTCATAAGAGCATGTAGAATATGAAGTTATATTCCTGTTACTTTATTCAATATTTGCTTGAAATTCACACTGAAATATAAATAATAATTTAATATACAGTAGTCCTTCTTTACACATTGTTAATTGGTGCCAGAAGGAGCGATGAGTATCAAAAATGGTGAATAGCACACAGTTTTTCCTATAGGAATAATGTAATGAGTCACAAGGCAGCCATCACTGACAAATTGTAGCTGAGTATCAAACAAACAATGAGTAACTGGACAAAATTTTCACATCAAAATGTAAATTCAATGAGTTTCAAAGCAGTTGAGCAGCAAAGAACCACTGTATAATGTTGGGTTAGAGACTGGAATTTCTAAACTTGTTCAGTAAATTTTGTCCCAGTGGCTAAGAAAGATCTCAGGCTTCCCCAATGAACTTGAAAAATACACGACTATATTGAAGGACATTTTCTAAGCCAGCAGCCCTCAACCTTTTGGGCACCAGGGACCGGTTCCATGTATTTTTTGCATGGACCTTTGTGGCTTGACGGCCCAGCAGAGAGAAAAGAGGGGATGGTTCCTTGTGAGTGGTAGGTGGGGCCCATGTGAGCAACTCTGTGTGAGCAGTGGGCACATGCACCCACCACTCACACAAAGGGAGCTTTGCATGTCAGTGCAATCCACTGACGCTTAGGCAAGGGAAGAGTCGCGCCTGAGCATAAGTCACCACCACTCGTGCGAGAGAAGCTTTGCGCTCGAGCGGCAGCCATCTTGTGCTCGTTCAAGGGAAGCTTCACACACATACAGGTGCTCACCCACTACTGCACAGCCTGGTTCCAAACAGGCTGCAGCCAGGTAGTGGGCAGTGGCCTGGGGATTGGGGACCCCTGCATTACAGAATATTAAAGTAAGGGTCTATATATTGCGTATATAATATCCATTTTGTGTTGTGCTTTGAATTTTTGGTGTTATTACTGAACCAGGATCTTAGCGAGGAACATAAACCATCTCTATTTTTATGAGATGGTTTATGAGATGGTTCTGGGTTGTCTTCATTTTTCACATAGATCAATTTTATTTCTTTTTATTTGCAGAATTCATGGCATCCTTCTGAAAGTTTGTCATGATTTAAATAAACACTACTGGTTTTTTTTAGCCACTAGATGGCAGCAATAGCAAATATTACAGCTTTGAGCCTATTTGTGCAGGAAAATCTCTATTTTAAAGACCTCCAAACTCGTTGGAAAAACAATTGTGCCCTGAAGATTTTTAACAAAATAATTGAAGCAAGACACCCAGTTGGATCCATGTCTGTTATGAACTTCAGTAACACTCTCCAATACTGAGGTTTCTCTTATGAGACCGGATCCTTCTAAGACTCACATTTATACAACTTGAGCCATTCAGGACACTGAGAGTTAATTTCTTGACTTGAATTCTAAAAATTTGCACACAGATTTTTTTTTAAAAAACCTTTCATTTTAAAATTTTTCTTTTATCTATTGCATTCATGCAATCCTACTCACATTGCTTGGCATGTTGTAATTAATAGCGACATGTTTAATAGCATCATATTCATATAAGTAACCAATTTGTTGATTAAGGACCCTGATTGGGACTTTGAGGGAAAAAGTTCTGCTCAAATTTAGGTATGCTAGGAAGAGGCACAGTTATAAGAAGATGCAAAATTCCACCGAAGGGGAAATTTTTAGGAAGTTTTAGATTTCTTTCTTTTGCATAATATATTAAATTTAAAGCTGAATAAAATTCAGAGATCCTATTGACAATAAAGAAAATTCAAATTTTGTTACACATGCAGATATCACTGACAAGGGTTATCTCAATAAAAAGCAGTCTGGTTAGTCAGACCAAAAGACTCTCCAAAGCAGCATTGTTTCCTACAATAGTAAAAAAAAGTGCCTATAGAAAACCCGTAACAGCAAACACAATATCGTGTTTTATTGTTTATTTCCCAATAACTTTAATTTCAAGGCACTGGTTTATAGCCATCAAGGATGGTAATTATGGTTTAATCTGGGGGTGGGACCTGTGGACTTCAACTCCCAGAATTCTAGAGCCAGCATGTCTCTGGTCTAATCCTTCGCTTGTCCAATCAAAAAGCACATTGCATATAACCAGTGAATATCCTTGTTTAGATCTTTCTACACATTCCTATGCATTAGATAGGCTATACAACTTTTCCCTCTAAGTGTTTGCCGTTTTATAATGTTATTTGAATACATTTTTAACCTTTCACTGGAACATTGTCATTACCTCTACTGTAGTTTTTGTTTACTTTCTTACTTAGCTTTATTATTCTGATTCTATTCTGAGAGTGTATTATAGAAAATTAGAATGTGCATGTATGTAGTTCTGTCCACCAACTTTCCTCATCTTGCTTCTCCCCAGATATGTTAAACTATAGCTTCTTCACTGTCACTGTACAATTACCAGAACATTTGCTGGTTTGGAATGGTTGGGTTTACAGGGCAACATATATGGAAGATGAGAGCCAGTTTGACGTAGTGGTTAAGGCAACAGGCTAGAAACTAGGAGAGTGGGAGTTCTAGTCCTGCCTTAGGCATGAAATAATCTGGGTGACTATGAGCAGGTCATTTTCTCTCAGTCCTTAGAAGTAAGCAGTGCCAAGCCACTTCTGAAATGTTACCAAAAATCCTGCAGGGGCAGTCTATCTACTTGCCAGTCATCAAAGTAAAGAAAGAGATTAAAATATAACACCGGCAGGGCCATTTTATTACACATATATATCTGTTCAGAATTAACCCCAGTTTAATTTATATTATTTCATCCCATATAAACATGTGAAGAGGACTCCTTTAAAAATAGAACATTTTAGAGCATGCTGGTTTTTTCCTGAGGCTGTTAATGAATGGCCAGCACAGGCAGTTGCAACACTGACCCTCCATGAACCTCTGTAGGGCCCACGCAAGTTGTTTAGTAATAAATATTGATTTGTCTGCAGGAGGAATAGCAGCATTTTATGGTCCTGCTGTGGACACCCAAGTGGTGACCAATTTGCTAGAGGTCAGATGCTTAATGGGATGCTAATCAGCTATTTATACGAGAGCAAGGAAACCAAAGAGATTCAGAGATTCTCCAGAACTTTGTCCATTTTGGGGAGTGGGGACAATGACAGGAGCTCAATATTTATTGCCATTTTCAGCTCAGGTTGGAGCCTTCTTTAACATGGCCAACTGTTCTGGTGAGCCCCAGGGCCCCAAACTAACAAGGCTTCTACAGACCCTCAGCTTCCAGCTTGTCTCCAAATTGCAATAAATTATTTCTGTTTTCTCACTGAAACTGAATCATATTTAATTATTTCATTCAGGACTCCAAGGGATCTAAGCATATTGAAAGCACTACATTGTGTCTTCATGACAATTTATTTGAACCCTTAAGAGCAGTTTGATTGCCAACTATGCTGCTACAGCAGAACTCTGTGATCAACCATAATTTACTATAGATGTTCTGAAACTTTTGGGACCAGTTGGCAAATTTAGGGTTTTGTGAAATTGTTATGGGCATCGTTACAACAAAATGTGATTAACCTGGCACAACCACAAAAGTCCTTTTCAACAGAAGATAACTTAATTCCAAGCCTTTTAGAGTTGGCAATTATAATAAATGTAAATAAAATAAATATATACATGATGTCAGATGCATAGCTTTCTTCTGACTTTGTTCAGTCTCTTATCATTTTAGCTTTTTAAAAATGTCTTTGAGGTTTTGCTAAGCCCTGAAGCTTTTTTAACACTTAAAAAAACCCCAATTAGATGAGACAATTCATACTTGAGGCTGGTGCTTTGTTTTGTACTAGAGTAAAATTAAGTCTCCTTTGAGCTGTTAATGGCTAGATTCTTACAGCACACAGAAGTACAACTTACTCAGGCCTATTTCAATCTCATTGTAGAGTGTGACACAAACTCAGCCAAAGTGTGAATCTAAGCCTTCTTATTCCTTACTAATTGTGGGTGTTAAGAATTCTGATCATAATAGAGATAGACTTCTGATTTATAAGCAAATGGTTCTCTTAAAACAGGCTGGGTGGGAAAGTCTTCCCTACTGTGTGATTGAGGAAAATGTACCACAAACAAATGTTAACCATTCTATGATATTCCTTAGATTAATGATTATGCTCTTAGTGATGGGCAAGATACCCTATCCATCACTATCAATTTGTCACTAAGACTGCATGTATCTCTCCATCTGCCCAGCTCTTGTGCAGTTGCTGTGTTGCCATCGGAAGCCAGTTGGGCTAAGATGGTTCAAACTTGGTCAGTTACACAGTCCTATTTACTGGTATGTGTGTGTGTTTATTGCATGCTTTTAATTTTTTAATCTCTTTTGTTTCTTCTCTTTATCAATCACACCAGTTTCACAAATATGTGCTCTTTCATTTAATTTAGTCTCTGATTATAAATTTATAAATGTAAGCCAGATACAGAGAGATAGCACATGTACAAACCTAGTAGTTTACAGACACCTATATATACAACATCTTTAAGTCTGAAAACATATTGGTAATCTGGAAACATATTGATCAAGTTGGCTATAAGTAAATCATTTGAATGGTCTTACTCTGTGGATTGGAAGTTTTTGTTAGTGGAACACAAGGATTAGAAACAGAGAAGAATATTCCTTCTGGATAGTCAGACCCACTTTTAAAATATATTATTTGTACTGAACCTCAGCTTTGACTGTAACATTATCATGTATTAAATCAGGGCTGTACACTTCTGTGTAGTCTGGTGAGGATGTGTCTATACACATACACTTGTTAGTATTTCTTAAATACTAATCCTAACCTCCAAGGGCTACAAGGGACCTAAAGAAGATACAGTGGTATTGCTGGAGCATATGGGGTTGGAATAGTTTTTTGCTTCTTTTTGCATTTCCAGAGTTCACAAATTCATAAGACTGTTCCATAAAATTGGAGGCTTAATGCATCTGTTTTTCTATATGTGGGGGAGGGAAGGTTTCCAAACGTACAACTGACCCAATAGATCAGGATAACCTATAAAATCAACAAATAAACAAAACTCAATAGTTTTATATGTTGGTTTTATAGGCCATCCTGATCTGTGGTGTGGATTGTGCCACCGTGAGTTCAAAGGCTGCAAAAAAATATCTTTTTTGGTAAAAAAATATCATATCAGTTTTCCCACAATGTTTCATCTTAACCAGACTTATCTGAAAATACAGCTAACTTGTTTCAATAGATCTTACTAAGATGAGTTGCATAATTGCCTCCTAGTAGAACCCTCCCCCTTATTTTTTTTTCCTTCCTTCTTTATGCCAGAATTATGATAAATTAAACGTTCAATTTTAAGTGATTGTGGTTCCATGACAAGCCATAACATTTGCCTGTCATGTTCCTTTCCTTTTTTCCCCCTTTAAAATGTCATGGGTAGGACACAAAAGAGAGGATAAGAAGATTATAAGGATTCATTTCAGGAAGATATTATTCCTCTTTCATGTTGCTCCCAGGAAGGAAAAAGACACAGCAGACCTAAAGCATTTTAAATCAACCTTTCCTGAAATCCTATTAGGATCACACCTGCCATCTGAAGAAACCATGATCAGATTTGGATGAATGTACATGCTTACTAAACATGTAAGTTCCCCTGATCGTATTTTCTTCTAGATTCTGTCTAGTGAATACAGGTAAGTCATGGATGAATAATTATGTGCATGAGTGTAGTCTTATTTTAATTCTTTGATTCGGGCCTATTAGAATTAGGAAGTTATATGCAACTTTGAATTTTTATGTTTTCTTAAGAATGTGGCATATAAGTTGTCTGGATAAAATAACTAGGATAAAATAATAAACAATAGCCATTCCAATAAAAAGGTAAGTGTAACTGGAGCTAGAACTCAGGACCAATTGATCTAGTTTGTGTCTATATCTGTCTTGTCTGCAATTATTCATGAATCTGTTTGATGTAGTTTCTGTATCAGTCAAAAAGACAGAACGTAATCATTGTTAATATATTTTAATAACTAAAATGTTTTTTTTCCAAAACAACTCACCCTGATTTGCATTTTAGCTTATATTTATATGCAGTATGCACCTTTCAGGATATCACAAAGGAATATCACAAAAAATTAAAAGCGAAAATATGTCCTCCATCATTTCTTTGTCTGAAAAACATGAATCAGGCTGGTAGACCTTACCAATGCAATCCAACTGAAATTCTTGAATATCCATTGGTAAAACCAGTGAAAACTTCCTTTTACAAGAATTGGTTGTGCTGTAAGCTTTCCTCTTACCTGCATCTTTCCTCTTTTCACGTGAAAGTTCATGAACATTTGCTCTGATGTCATCTCTCAAGGTCTTGATGATATCTGGAAGGGCAGAAATATTCTTGCTCTCCAGATTAATGAAAAATTCATATTCATCTTTATTCAGCCGGGAAGGTCTGGATTCTATGTGAGTCAAGTTTATCCCCTTTTCCTAAAAGACAATGAAATAAATAATACTTTTTTTTTTGCAGTTGACCTAGAAAGTGATCTGTGCAGAGTATGGTGTGTAAAAATTGGGATGACAAAAATCTTTGTTTGTTTATAAACCTATTTTTAAAAAATAAAAATGTGTACTTTAAATGTTCAGCCCCACACAAAAGAAATTGATAACTGAGTTATACAACTATAGCTGTATACCATTATAGGTCTGCAAATGCTATTATAATAAATATTAAGTTGATACCTCTCAAGATCTGAATATAATGAATGTCCTACCTTTCTTTATTGCCTACTATTAGACAAGTGGTCATTAATCTCAATGGCTATTTGGTACCATTCAGCTCAGAGACATCATGCTTCTCAATAGCAAATACTAGAGAACATCAATGCAAGATAACTACTGTTTTCATCTTTTGTCAGGTGCCTTTTGTAAGCATCTCATTGGCTACTGGGAAATAGATGTTGCATCAGGTGGATTCTTTAATGTTTCCCTGTGAAGTCTTTTTGAGGACAGTTTATTTACAGTTACAACCCTTACTATTACACATTGGAGGCATCAAAGGGCCAGATAATGATCTCCCAAAATGAATAGTGTACAGAGACTGAATCTGTGTTTCCCTCACAAAATGCGTACACTCAGATCGTTCCAGGAAATGCAGTAGAAGGCCCAAATGTGACACAGATATGTGCCATAGTATAAGTTACAATCCAGTAAACCAGGAAGGGTTCCAACCTCCTTGGGGAGTATAAAAGATGGCAAGTAGCTCCATTTCAATAGCTGTTTTGAGATATAGTCTTGTCACATATATGATGACTAATGTCAGGAACATGTCATTGCAGTTTCTCATTGATTTATTTTTAATTAAAAGAAATTAACAATATTAAAGATCAGATGGAGCAGGTCTGAAGAAGGTCAAAGAAGGCAGACCCAGAAATAAAGACCAAGAAGGACTATATACTCACTAATTACATTTTCTTTTTTTATATTTGCGGTCATGAAAAATATTTATTTGAAAGACAACTACAAAAATGAATCAAGCTATTAGTGATGTCTAGTTTAAAATATCATGAATACATATCAACACCAATAAATATAGGGTGGGAATCCCCCCGCCCCTGGAGCTGAATATTAAATATATTCAAGGGCAGAGAGAGAAATTCAAAAGGACCATCTGCTCAGAAACAATGTACACTATTGGATCTGTCTTTTCTGAAGTTCTAAGCAATGAGCACCAAAGATGGGCTAAACTGTTTGGCCAGATACCAACACAAGAAGTTGAAAAGGTCAGAAGTGCATTCAAATCCCCTGGCACAGGAAAGAGATCCTCCTAACATGGATGGCCTCCATGCAAAGACCTCTGTTAACCAAGCTGAGCCCTGAGGTCAAGTTGTTTTAGCTCTCTAAAGACCTGCACTGGTCACAGACAATGCTTTGTATTTGCTATTTAATTAGGTGCTCACAAATCATTAGAGGGCTCCAGAGCTAGGGAAGGGTGAAGTTTAAATTACTCCATGTAAGATTTATGATGATCAAGACCAGACCCTAAAACTCACAGTCTGCTCTTAAGCAAGAATGCTACAATTTGTTATAAGCAAGAATACTATATTTAATTATAATCCCAATAATTCCATCGTTGGAATTAAGATTTGGGATTTATAGTGAGATAGCAAAATTCTTTCTTTCAAGAAGTAGTAATATTTGATGAAATGAATGACTTGAACAGAGAACACTAGATGGAAATGTGAAATGTTTATCTGCATCTTTGCTGTTCTTCCATTGCCCTTGGAATCAGTTGTAAAATTTTTGTGCTAGAGAAAAGTTTCTGTCTCCACCATTTTTTAGATGATTGGCAAAGCCAATGATCAAGGGGTCCTGGAAGGTGACAGATGATTATCCCCTCTAATTCTATACAGCATAGCAGGTGCATCCTTGGTTATTATTAAAGACATACCAGAGAAAAAGGATGCCTGCATCTTGAGATGTATACTTACCTAATCATATAATCTGAGATAGGTTTCATGAACAACATAACACAATTCCTACCAGTTGCATCTGTAGTGTCTTTAGTTGTGTCCAGCAGATATGTAATACCCTTTTTAAAATTTTAAAATAAATATCCTAACTATTGCCTTTTTTCCTCTTGTGGAAAATTCTGCATTATGTTTGAAGGTACAAATATTTTTTGCATTTCTGACAGCAGAGGAACAAGTGGTTAATTTTTAACTAGTCCAAACAAACAGATTTGATCTTGGAGTTGCTCTGAAATTCATGTACAAACACCACTCCGCTATGAAAAGGCTCAGCACATGATCACCACTTTCTCTGTTGCTAAATAATGCTGCAAACATGAGTATTTCAGCTAAAGCAAACATTGCTGGGTTCATCCGAAATGCTGAGATAGTTACTGCTTTGGTACTTATGTAATGAAGGGGAGAACGGGCAGCCATCTTTCTTAAATGTCCCCTAACTTGCTGCATGTTTTTATAACAGAGGTGCAAAACAAGCCCCCCGCCACCCAGAGACTCCCTTCAGAAATCAGTGCCTCTTTTTGCATTTTTGGAAACATATAAGAGGAAAAGCAACTATGTTGGGCAAAGTCTTAAGTTAAAAACATTTATCCCACATCAAGAATAAGAACCCACATTTTCAGTTGAGGATGCAAATAATCTCAGAAAGGCTGCTTGCTGGTGGTAGGTGGGCTCAAAACCTGTGGAAGATGGACTTCCGGTTTGAGCCTCTTTGGTGATGGACCGAAATCTGCGATTGTGCACAGTTTTGATCCATGCTTGCCGCCGGAGCGTCCTGAGCCAGCTGGTTTCAGGGCTAAGCCACTCCGTAGAGGTGGTGAAGAGGGGGGAGACTGCCAGCAGGGTCGAGGAGATCTCTTCTCCCCAGCTGGCCACAACTCCCTTTCCTGAAGGCGGTTGTAGCGGTGGTCAGAAATGGCCACCTCAAAGAAGAACTCGACTGGAAAAGAAAGTGCAGGAGGAAGATAAGAAGAGAAAGTTTTGGCTGACTGGGTTAAACTGAAAAAGCAACAACATAAGGTACCCTGGAATTTAAACTATAAAAATAACATTGTTCCCAAAGAAGATTTTGAAGCGGCGAAGGAGAGAGGGAAGGGAAAGGATTTGTTCTTTTTTCTTCCTCCCTTCCTTATACTGATAACTAAGAGACTTAATTAAGAAATTGACAAAAATCTACCTGGACATTATTAGGCTTTTAAGCTGAAAATAAAATGTCAAAGGGATAATAAAGCTTTTTAGATATTTAAAAACTTTAAAAGCAGGAAGAGAGAAAAAGAACAAAAGTGCAGGATCTGGAAAAATGGAGGAGACTGCCTGGAACTAAAAGGAATTTACAGTGAAACCTTAACAAGATTCCTAAAAGATACACTTCGACTGAAACTTTGTAACAAAATAATAGAACCCCAGGAAGAGAAAGTGGAAAAAAGAAGCAAGAAGAAACAGCTTTGGATTATTTGGATAACTTGGTGATTTTTGGATTTTTGGCTATTGCATTTAAATGACTAAAATCAATCAGGTGGTTGTTTAAAAGTGTTTAAAATGGCACCACTTCTAGAAGAACTGAAAATGGAACTTAACAAGTACAAAGAAGTGTACAAGAAGGGAGCGGTTCTTTTGGCTTCGTATTTCAACTCTTAGAAATGGAGATCTGGAACTATGAGAAACAACAAGAAATGCTTATACAACAAGAAAATCTGGACAAAGAAGAAGCCATCTTTAATGATCAAGTAATGTTATGGGGGGGGGAGGAAAGGGGGGAAAGATAGTGAAAAGTCTAAGATTTGAAAAAGCAACCCAAAAAAAGAATACTTGGAAAAATAATTACAATATTAGAAAGCAACAGAAGAGGGGAATCACAGATGAGAGAATTAGAAGTAGAGAGACAAGGGGGGGAAAGGGGGAGGGAGAAGAAGGGGGGAAGAAGGAAAGAAAAAGAAGTTATAAAAGACAGAAACAAGATACAGAGAAACAGGGAAAAGGTTCAAGGATTGAAAGCATAAGCCTGTTTAGAGATAATGGGTGAAAATTTAATTTAAAAGAGATTCTGCAATGGTACATAAGATAGTATTGTGATATTAGAAATAGAAATAATTTTTAGAAAATATGATGACTAAAATGATGGATAAAATATTTATTGTAATATAGTTAATAAATGAAAGAAAGAAAGTGAATGAGAGAATGAAATTAGGAAAGAATGGGAACATTTTAATTATTATTAATGATTTATAAAAATATAAGTGAAGAGAAATATGAAAAAAAAGAATTAATTATGGAAAGTTTATAAGTGTTCACAAGGAAGTATGATGTTCAATTGAAAAGAAAAAGATGTCAAGATTTTAATGAATATTAATGATAGAATTGAATTGGAATGGTTTTATTTACACATATATATAATTTTTTAAGAATATAGTGTGTACTTTAAGAATGTACCAAGCAGAACTCGATTGGAAGTTATGTATTATATTGATTGTTATAATCTTAAAGGTATAAATTGAAGTTTAAATAAGAGTTGAATGGATAAAATTAAAAGAAATAAAGATGTCATACTCCAATTAGTAACTACAGGGGAAAATTTGTTTAATGAGAAAAGTTAATATGAAATTGAAACAGGACAGACAAAAAGTACAAATATAATGATTTGAATTGAGATATGAGATAATTAAAAATAAAGTTGAGAAAATCAAGGGAGGGGAAAAACTACATAGAAAATGTTAAATAGTAATAAGATATGGAATAAAATACAAGGATGAACATGAAATTGAGTTTGTGTCTGTATGAAGAAGTGATAACCCGTGATCAGGCTATTCTCAAAGAAACATGTTTTATTTGTATTATGTTTTTTTTGTGAAAACCCAAATTAAATTTATTTTAAAAAAAAAAAACGTGGAAGGTGTGGCTGAGTCCAAAATGGGAGGTCTAACCTTTTTTTCTCATTTTTTCTTCCAACCTCTTTGTCTGTTCTTT